CATATAATTAAACAATTAAAATATAAAAATGGACAATTAAATAAATAAATGTCACATGAAATTGAATTGTTTCCTTGTCCCATTAAATAATTAAATCTATCTTTATACATTGTGAAATTAATAATTAAATGTCAGGAAATGATTTTAACTGTCAAACCCAGTCCTCAAACTCAGTGGGCGGGACAATTGTAGCTTTTTTTTTTTAAGTGAAGAGAATAACCGAGAGAGAAGTAATTAGAAAGATTGAAATAGCGATTAGAAGTATATTAAATATAGACCAACAAAACACAGGACCACACACTGGATGGAAAGCTTCAATGCATCATGAAGCTTAATCTCACCATCGCTAGAATTCAGACCAAATATTAATGTATCATCGTAACCAACAAGACAAACTAAGTCATATCTCTGGATCTGCTCATGATATCAGGATGATCCAGTTAGCAAAATGTAGCTTTTAAATTCAGGAATATGAAAATATGATTAGGTCATTTTGACCAAATTTGGCTTAATTCTCATTTCAGTATGATTGGTCTGGTCACATATTTTACTGGAGTCATTTTTTTTTTTCGACAACTTTAGAAAGATACCTTGCGCCGACCTCCTGAAGGGAGTGAATTTGATTGTGGTTGAATGAGAAGGACAAATCTACAATTCTGAAACCCCATTGGTTCCTACAAATACTTGCAACACCTCTGTCTTTTACTGACAATGAAGGAAAAACTCAACCAACATTTAATGCAACATAAATTTGGATCAAATCAGTACTTTTCCCCATGTTGTCTTCAAGTTTAGAATTTTTTTTTAAATCGTCCAATGCCAAAGGCAAAGCAAAAACATTTTTGTGTGTTTGTCTGTAGCTTGAACCAGAGGACGAATTTTAATAAAACTCTCAAACTCAAAAAGTAGTTGATTAATTCAAATAATTTCAATTCATTTATATTGTGCCAAGTCACAACATATGTCATCTCAGGGCACTGTACACAAAACACAATAAATCTAAAGAAGCCAAAAGATTGTGCTGAATCGTCCTGATGCATCTCGGTAATCCAAGGGGACTTTGAGCCCCGCCTGCATTCACTACCTACACATGACAYGGCACCTAAGAACAACAGCATCCAAACCAATAAGTCAGGTGATGGGGCACAGCCTCTATGAACAATAGAGCTAGAAGAACTGGTCCAGGTGTATTTTCCTCTGAAAGAGAGACAAAGAAAACGTTATCTATTGAAGGAGAGAGACTAAAGACAACAGCAGAGTGAGGAAATGTGCTCAGTTTGTGCTCCAGCAGTCTTAAGTCTATAGCAGCAGAAATGACGAATAATTCAGTAAACCTAAGTCTAACTATATGTTTTATCAAAAAGGAAAGTCTTCAGTCTAATCTTAAAAGTAGACAGAGTGTCAGCCTCACAGACAGAAACTGGAAGTTGGTTCCACAAGAGAGGAGCTTGATAACTGAAAGCTCTGCCTCCCATTCTACTTTTACAAACTYGAGGAACCACAAGTAAACCTGCAGTCTGAGAGCAAAGTCCTGTTAGGAAAGTATGGAACAATAAAATGTTTAATATATGATGGATGTTTAATAAACATCTCCAACAGACTTTGGAGTCAGCCCATTTGAAGATGGCAACAGTTAATTGACATTAATAACACAAAAATGGCTGTAACTCAGACAATTTTCAGGGGTAGACATAACCATAGGTTGTCCGAGACAACTTATTTTCATTTCAGACAACCATATCATGTCTCCTGGTTGTCTGGTGGTCAACCAAGAAAAAAAGACCTTGATTAAAGTTCTCTGCCGCGGGTGTCCAATCATTTGTAAAAATGAAAGGGAGAAAAAACTTGGTAAAGCTGAACAGAACACTAAACTGTAACTTTTAATAAGGTCGTGTACACAGTTTACTCCTATTTAAGTGAAAATGTTTGACCTATGAGCAGAAACAAGTTTATGAATGTTGGGTAACCTCTAGATTTCTTTAGAAACATTTTTGCTGCTTTACTCCCTGAGCCTTAAATGCTCTATTCCAAAGAAGAGAATGAGGAAGTTTTATTCACGCAGATCCCGTCAACCTGGCTGACTGAGAACAATTATATATATAATTAACTTTTTCTACAGAACAATATACTTGTTAAATTACATTTTTCTTGAGATTCTTTTGGACAACCAAAAGGTTTTGCGGACAACCAGGTTTTGTTAACAGGTTGTCCACTGGGCAACCTGAAAAATATCCTTATGTCTACCCCTGAACTTTATAGTTATTGAGTTAAAATTGGGTGCAGTAGTAGCTGAGAGTCATTTCCAACACATACTCTGAGCACATCGTGGGAGATTTCACAGCATCAGAGAGGAATGTGCAGTGTTTGCACAATTTGACCAAAACAGCTATAAGACCATCCGTTACCAGCACTGGGTGATTTTAGTTTAAAACTTGATGGGCGATGTGCACCCCTTCCAGGAAAGCTAGGCCTTTATTCTGCAATGAAGCTAATTTTGACACATTTAAAAGAAAAGGTCTAAAATAACATCCAGTATGACTAATCCTTGCTACAAGAATAAAAGCGTGCATGTTGTGTTCATAAAGCTGCATGTGGTCCCTCTCTGCAGTCCCTCACTACAAGACGGAGAAGTCCCGCTACGACACGTCTTTGAACCTGACCACCAAGCGCTTCCTGGACCTGCTGTCTCAGTCAGACGACGGCGTGGTGGATCTGAACTGGGCCTCGCAGGTCCTGGATGTCCAGAAGAGACGCATCTATGACATCACAAACGTCCTGGAGGGAATCCAGCTCATCTCCAAGAAGTCCAAGAACCACATCCAGTGGCTGTGAGTTAAAAAAAACAAAAAAAACTCATGGGCAGGACACGGTTTTGAAAAACTRAAACCAACAAGCAGCTAGTTAGACAAATACCTGCTTGTTATTCATGTTTTGTTTTCTGTCTGATCTTTTCCTGCAGTGGTAATCGAATCGATGCCAACCTGGTTTCTCGGCACAAGGAGCTGCAGAGGGAGGTGTGTGACCTGACTGAGGCCGAGGAGAAGCTGGATGAGCTCATCTCCAAATGCACCCTGCAGCTCCGACTGCTCACAGAGGACCCGCAGAACAAGAAATATCCTTTTTTGGCCAGATTACCTGGAACTTAGATCAGTCGCAGTTATCGATGTACTGTATCAGTTAATCACAAGATAAATTAAATTGAGGTCGATAATTTTCATTTGCCTTCGTGTTTGTTGTCTTCCTCTTTTCTGCTCCTGAGCGTAGCGAGGAGTGAACTCTGGTGTCAGATGCATGGTCTCTAACCTCTGTAGCATGAGCAGAGTTGTAAAGTAACTAAGTACAAATACTTTGTTACTGTACTTAAGTATACTTTTTGGGTATCTGTACTTTACTTGAGTACTTTTTTCAGCCTACTTTTTACTTCTACTCCTTACATTAAAAAAAAGGCAAGAAGTAGAAAGTCGTTAATTTTATTTCATTTTTGCTTGTTTTTATTCCAGTTTGTTATTATAAAAATAAATACTATCCATAAAAATTGTGCCTCCTAGATAGAGTGAATTTAATTGTGGTTGAATGAGATAAACGTATAAAATTCTGATAGTGTATTAGTTTGTACACAAACAAATCATGTCACACTCCAGCAGGACATAAT